AGAAATGTAGATGATTCTTCCTCATATGAGGATGATCATATTTACATACAAGAAAAATGCAAATTCAAAGTATATGTTTTAGTTTGGTAGAAATCCAAAAGTTTGACAGTAGCCCTGTTGACAGGTCTGAGAAGAAACAGGTGGCACTCTGTACACTGCTGGTAGGAACACAAAATGTTACAACCCCATGGAGTGCAATTTGGCAAAATCTACAAAATTACAGATTCATTTACACTTTGACCAAGAATTCCCACTTTTAGTACTCTACCCTGAAGTTGTACAACAAAAATACAAGATAACATATGCTCAAATTATTCATATTGGCATTGTTTTTAAAAGAAAAATTAGAAACAGCTCTTTTTTCCAGTTAGAGGAAACTCAGCAAATATAATTGGTATAAAGTAGAACTGTGTATCTTTGAAAAAGAGTGAGGTCAATCTCTCTGAAATGACATAGAATTATCTACAGAATTTATTGTTAAGTGAAAAAAGCAAGACGCAGAGCCATGTTTATAATTTGTACCCTTATAAGATAAGGTACTTTATAAATAATAAAGTAGTAAATTATAAAAATAGTTATAGGGTACAAGGCAGAAAAGAACGGACTTTGAGTTCTGAGTACACTTTTTTGCATAGATTTGACTTCTGAAACGTAAATGTTACACATATTTAAAACAATTAAAATAAAAAAGCAAACCTTAAAATTAAAAACCAATTAAAACAGTTGAACTTAATTCATATCAAATTATAATCACATGGGGAGATAATTATTTCAAGTGGCTTTAAATTCAGTAATCAGATTGTACGTACTTAGTGTCATATTTTAAGGTCAAAAGGATTGCAAGGAAATCTTAAACTTAATTTGGTAATTTCATTTTTTGTACTTATGTTGGTATTTCTATTTTGAAACTATTTTATGTATATTATAGAATAAAGCAATAAGACATTGGTGCAAACAGTTAAGTACTCAACTACTAGCTGGAAGTTGACTCTTCGAGCCCACCCAGGGAAAGACGGAAATAGAAAAATCACTATTCTGTAAGCCTAAATGAAAACATTAGGTAAACGGTTGATGAGGACATGGATATTTGCCTCGTACCAAAGTATTACCCAACAAATTATTTGCAAATTGGAAAGGGGAAAATGCTTTACAGTGGCAAGATCTAGTAGTTCTCACCACTCAAACCCAGAGATCAAACATACCATCACTGATACTGGGACCCTGATGTTAAGTGCATCCTCTTTTGAAGCAGTGTAAAGTACACAGCATCACTGAGAAAGTATTCCTGTCAAAAATGGTGAACCTGACTCTAATCACTCTGTTTCTAGATTATTCTAGATTTAATTGGTTATTTCCTCTTGATGTCAACTAATGTCCCCTGAATGTCCTATAAGCTTGAAATGGATATGCAAACTTAATTGCAATACAACAAGTCTGATCTCTTCAATGTCATAAAATAGAATTATATTAGAATTAGGATTTCTACAGGGATAGATAAGAAATTTGTATTTTTAATAGGTTCACCAGTTGATTCTTATGTACCTTAAGTTTAGGAATTACTACCATACAATATTCTTGAGCAGAGAATAGAGGCAGGGTTTTGATGAGGAATATTGACTTGGCAGTTGGATGAAGTTAGGAAACAATTGCAGTATTTCAGGTAAGAGGAAGGAAGGTGTGAATTAAGGTGGTGACAGTGGTCATAGAGAGAAGCAAACAGCTACGAAAGACATTGTGGAGATATAAAAGAACATAAACCATCAAGTTTAATTTAATTAAGCATTATCATAATATTACTTTCATTAATTTTTTATGGGACAACTGAAATATTAACTGGATCAACTACAGTGGCAGGAGGAACCACTGGAGTGCCAGGAAGTGAATTTGAGTTGGGATTCAGTACCCAGTAAATGGCTAAAGAATCACAGAAGTCTGCTCATTCAAATCGATTGTATTACTCAGAACCAAACCTATGAAACACTCAGAAAAGTAGATAAGTGATGGCAATTTCCAAGGATATTTAGTAATTACCTTGATTTTAGAAATTAATCCCAGCTGCTTTTTTGTGTTGACCCGGTACAACAGGAGGGTCTGTGGGAGTTACCGCAGGGGCAGGCAGTGGAAGCACAACCAGAGCATCAGGCACTGAGGCCACCAGTGCTGGGAACCCAGCAGGCAAGACACAACTCTTTTTTGTGTCAGAGCAATGGTCAAACACAAATTTTGCACAAATCCTAGATATTTATATAGATATATATAACAAGTCTAAGTATATATATATAAAGATGACCTAATTCTTGTAGAAACAACTGAGGGAAATTCTAGCTGTAATGAAATTCATTTAATCACGAACTTTTGCCAAAGAATAGTTGCAACACAATAATCTATAGGTGGAACCTCATTGTTTTTAAATTAGTCACAACTGGAAAATCAGAGGCAGCAACCACTTTAGCTTCAGGTGAAGCTGCATTTGTAACATCATCTAATTCTAAAATCATGTCTAGTTAGTGGAAGTATGGGCTCTTGGATCAAAATTTGGTTTAACTGAAGAGTTTGTGAGGAATTCAGTCATCATAAATACATTAATGTAAACAATACTTAGCAAAATAATACTTATTGAGAGCTTAGCGTTGTGTTAGGAACTAGAGATGCAATAAGATGGTACTGTTCTTATAAAGCTTACAATTATTGCATTAAATTAACATTTAAAAACATGAAAAAAGCAAAGAGTAAATAAATAATACAGAAAAAAAAATCAAATGGAGAAATGATGCAAATTAGAGAAGAATTTTTCCTGCAGTGAAAGTTTCTAGGTAATTCTAGAAAGAAGGGATGCATTTGGTGTCAAAAGCACATGTGAATTCTGTTTAAAAAAAGGATTCTGACATCAGATTAATCTGTATGCCTCAACCTGAGCAAAGAATCCTAGTATTGCTGGACTGAGTGAATACTTGTGGGTGTAACAATTCTTAGGAAGAGATTTCCAAACATGTTTCAGATCAGTGATTGAATAAAAGTTAGTTCCTTTAAGTTTTTTTTTTTCCTTTTAAAATTTCAGGCACAACTGTGATATCACCTGGAGTAACCCCTGGAGTAGGAGGTGGCAGCACCCCTGGAGAACTAGACACAGGAGCCACAAGTCCTGGAAAGTCAGGTAAGTCAAACACAGCACCTTAGCTGTTTCCAGCCTTGTTTCCCTCATCAGGGTGTGGTCTAGATTAACTGCCAAGCTGTAACTAATAGAGAGCTAAGGGAAAACAGAGGGATAGTGCGCTCCATGCTATGTATGTTAGAGATCTCAGGTCTGTGTAATGACCAGGGCATTTGTCATTGGTAACCAGGGTCCCCAGAAGTATCTGTTGTCTCATCCACCATTGGCCCTGTGAGCCAGAGCACCAATGTAGCCTCGGCCACACCAGCAACAACTTCTGGAAGCAAATCAGGTAAGTAAATTGGAGGACGAAGTGCTTGACCAGGGGCAAAATGGGGTGTTAGTGTGACCTACTCATGGCACTAAATGAAATAGCCAATGCACTAGTAACTTCAGATTTTTACATTAGGAAAATCAAATACTTAAAGACTTCCTTGTTGCCTTTGTTTAATATTCGTTTTAGGATTTTAGGTGTGGTTTATCTGATTTTTTTTTCCTAGGAGAGGATTTTTGTATATCCCTGATTGTATGAGTGACTCCTCTCCTTTTTCCTTGTATTCAGGCACATCTGTCACATCAGCCACCGTGACAAGTGGCAGTGAAGGCACACCTGGATTACCTGGCAGTGGGACCACAACTTCTGGAAGTGCATCAGGTGAGTGTGTATGTGAGAGAGAGGTTGAGCACATAGCTGGTCTGTGGAGGATTTTGCCATCTGGTTTCTTAACCATCTGAAAGATAATTCAGATATATCATAAATGCAAATTTTCACAAGGAAACTATGGATCAATTAGACACCTTACCAATTTGTTTCCTGTTTTTGCATTTGATGGGTTGTTTTAAGTGTGGAGTATGTATATTTAGCCAAAGACCTAAACATTAAGAGGGATTATCAAGGGAAATTCTTGTCTAAATGGCATAAATGTGGCCGTAACAATTTCCCAAAGAGGATTTTGAGAATCATCCCCTTGATCATCCTAACTAAACACTCCGTTGTTTCTTTAATTAGGCACTACTGGAGGATCAGAAGTAGCAACCACTGGAGGATCAGAAGTAGCAACCACTGGAATTGCAGGTAGAAGTACATTTGGAGCATCAGGTACTAGAGCAAAAAATCCAGAGGATGTGAGACCCCTTTGCTTAAAGTTTAGGCAGATGTTTTATAAAAAGCAACCAATATTTGTTAAATGATAAATATTGTCCTACATATTGCACTGGAACAGAGGTGTGATACCTCCTCTTTCTTCACAGGGCTTATTGTCTATCATGAGAAGACAAATTTATAAGACTAAAAGAATTTATTTGCAAAGTAATATCAATCTAAGTGAGGCCTGGTGGTGCAGTGGTTAAAGTGCTTGGCTGCTAACCAAGAGGTTGGCAGTGTGAACCCACCAGATGCTCCATAGGCAAAAGATGTGGCATTCTGCTTTCATAAAGATTTACAGCCTTGGAAACCCTAAGGGGCAGTTCTATACTTTGTACTATATGGTCACTATGAGTTGGAATCGACTCAATGGCAGTGGATTTGGTTTTTTGGTTTGATATCAATCTAGGTTGGAGGAAGAGGTTAAAGAGCAATTCTTGATATGCCATAGAATAAATTTTCATAAGAAAAATTAGAAGTATAATGTCATAAAATAATGTGTATCACTGATTTGAAAATGGAAGAAGACAGAAGGGGGAGAGAGAGTATTGCACTCAAATCATTATCACTTTCATCCATATACATTAACCTGTTACAGAAACTTTTATGTCGATAAATTGAACAACATTTTATGTATGAACAGATTTATTGGCATCTTTAATAAAAATAATTTCAGGTGATATAGTGGTAATAAGACCCAATAAAACCTTCCAGATATGGGTAATACTTCAGTTTTCTTATCTGTAAAATGTAGGCATTTATCTATCTAGTAGGGTTCTGACGAGGATCCAATGAAATAGTGAATAAATGTATGCCAAAGCATGTTTCTTGAAATGTATAAGAAGTAATTTTATTATTGATATGGAAGGATGCATATTTCTGTGTCGTTTTAGGTGGAAGTTTAAGTCAGAATTGGTTATCTCAGCAGTTACAGACATTTTGTTAATGAGCTCTTTCCATTTTTTTCCTTGTAACAGGCACACCTGGAACATCAGGTGGTGCAACTAGTGGAGGTGAAAGTACACCTGGGTTACCCAGCAGTGGTATTACAAGTTCTTCAACTAAGACAGGTGAGATCAGATAAGTACTAAAAGAGTCATCGAAATCTGAGTCTGTGTCAAATTTGTTTATAAAAAGCTATTCAGCTGAATATTTATTCCGCTGAAAATCTTTCCTCCTTGAAATGCAGAGCACTCTTATTCAAATATGGAGTGATTAAGAAGATTGCGATTGCATCAAACGTTATTCTAATCTTCATGTGCTATTGGGATACAGTTAGTGTGATACTTGATGGCATAAGTAATGACAGTGATCTGATAGTTAAGATATTTTGCATTACTAAACAAGACATTTTAAATTGGATATTTTAATATGACTTATTTAGAAACCACTAGAAAGTTACTGGATACAATCATAGTGGAGTTAAGGATAAAAGAGATAAATCCAATATGGGTTTAAGAGTGCCAAAGATATAGATAAAACTAAAACTCATGTTTTAGTCACTGCAAAGGATGGCCAAGATATGAGGTATAGTGAGATTAACTGCTTCAAGACTTCAAACAGAATTCTGATTCAAAGTTTACTTCAGTGAGAATAAAGTTGAGACCCCAGAGATAGAGTATTAAGGTGCTAGTTAGCAAACTGGTCTGTACACAATTCAGGAGCATGACTTAAGTGATGGGAAGCTCCCTTAAGTTGGACTCAGAAAGACGCTTCTGGTAATTGGATAGGACAGGTCAAGAGAAGGTAGTTTTATCATTTGTATCCAATTGTTGACTTTATTTTTCAACTTGAATGTTTGATAGGCCTCTCAGACTTAACATGACCTAACTGACTTCTTGATTTCTCTTCACCCTACACCTGTTCTCCTTGTCTTCCCCATATCAAAAAGTAACAATATCACCCACGTAGTTTACTCAGGTAAAAATCTTAGAGTTATCCTTGATGCATTTCTTTCTCTTTTTTTTTCACCTCCCACATTTAAACTAGACCTACTGATGCTACTTCTAAAACATATCTTGAATTCATCCACAGTACTAAATCACCTTTATAACCACTCTAGCCCAGGTCACCCAAGACTCTGACTCGTGGCAATGAGTTCATTTTAGTAAAATGAACCACGGAAAGATAACAGTTAATTATCCTTTTTAACCAGGCACAGCTAAAGAACCGTATGGAGGAACTACTAAAGCAGGTGAAAGCACAACCATAGCATCAGGTTCTAGATTAACTACATTTGGAAAATTAGGTGAGTGGAAAGGGAAGCCACTGTGACTCAACATAAGGTTTTCTGAGAAATCTAATAATAACTAAGTAAGGTATTATAAGTAACAATAAGTAAGGAAATATGAGAAAATCAGATCCAAATCATCTCATATTTAGAACCTTATATTTGTTAGGTGCTTTAGGGCTATAATAGAAGAATAGGAAATTGTCTTCACAGTGCTGACTCCTTCAGGAGATAAACTTAGACAAAGAAGTTTAAAACAAAGCAAGGAAAAAAAATGTATTGAGAACTTAAACTATGTTCCAGGCACTGTTCTAAGTTATGTAACACGTAATTAATTTTCACAGCAACCTGTAAGGTAAGTGCTATTTCTATCCGTATTTTCAAATGAGGAAGCTGAGGAGTGGTTTAGTTAGGAGGTACAGGTCAAGACTTAAACCTAGATAGCCTGGCACCAAAGCTATCCTCTTACCCATTACATTGTCCTCCTTCCCATGGCAGTAGGTAAAGTAGGGTGGAAAGGAAAGATGAAGCAAATCATGAACTGTACTTCTGAGAAGACAGTGTTGGTCCCAAGGAATGACTTGATTACTACATTTAGAAAAATTACAGTCTGTGTTTTACCAATTTAACTTTTATGCCTTGAAATAACTAGTAAGCTGAATGACCTGTACCACCATGGAGTTATTGCTAATAGCGACATTTTTTTTTTCTACTTAAAAAAAAATTAATTACAAATGTCATGTCGCCTGGCCCATCTGCTAAAGTTGGTAGGACCTCTGAAGAACAAAGTATTGGAAGTACAACTCTTGGAAAGTTAGGTAAGCCAGGATACCATGTCTGAGTAATATCAAATACTGCTTATTGGAACCAAGTTGTACTGCCATTTGGATAAAAGATTGAGCTGCCTCTTTTATTAGGTCACCTAGCTGCTGAAAACTCTATTGATACTATATTTGACTTCCTGTACTTTTAGAAACTTAAACTGTGTTGCCATGGAAAAGGAAAAGTGATTGGTAGTGTCCCAATGATTTTATTCCTTGACTGTTGTTCTTTGAGGCACTGCAGAAGCATCTGTGAGCTAGAGCCTCAGATACACCAAATTCAGCCTTTCAAAGAAAATCAGATAAACAAAAAGGCTAACATATCAGAGCCCTGTGTCTCAAATTTTACCATTTTATTGTAACTTATTTAATTATTATTGATTTGGCAATGGCTGGGATGGAGGAGTTGGTTAAGGGCAATTTTCAAGCTTCTGGCAGATACAGTTTGGGGGATGATGGTAGCACTTATTGAAATAGGGAATGCTAAAAGAACAGCAGTGTGGCAGGAAAATCATGAGTTCAGGTTAAATAAGTTAATTTTGTTGTTGTTGTTGTTTATTGTTGTAGTTTAAATGAAGTTTACATTTCAAATTAGTCTCCATACAAAAATTTATACATACATTGTTATGTGACCCTAATTGCTCTCCCCATACTGTGACAACACACTCCTCCTTTCCACCCCTGATTCCCCATGTCCATTCAACCAGCTCCTAACCCTCTCTGCCTTCCCATCTCACCTCCAGACAGAAGCTGCCTGTTTAGTCTCTTGTATCTACTTGAGCTAAGAGGCACACTTCCTCACGAGTATCACTTTATGTCCCCCAGACCAGTCCAATCTCTGTCTGAAGAGTTGGCCTCGGAAATTGTTTTAGCTCTGGGCTGATAGAGAATCCGGGGGCCATGCTTTCCGGAGTCTAAATAAGTTAAATTTGAGATGTCAGTGAGAAGTCCAAATAAAATTACCTACTATATTATTGAAACTCTTGTTCATTCTTTTGCTTTAAATTCAGGTACACCTGGAGTGCCTGCTGGAACTTCCACAGAAGCTAGCGAAGAAAGCCCAGCTGTCACATCAGGTACTGGAACTACAACACCTGAATTCAAAGTAGTTATGTTAATAAATGTCCAGATAGTGTCCGAATAAAATAAAAGCACTGCTCATTACTTTCTACTTTTAATCTCAGGTCCCACGGGAGTTGCCTCTGGCTCAACAGTTGCACCAGGAAGTTCTAATACTCGTAAGTAAGATGGGATGTCAGATGTATTCTTTGACTTGTTTTCATGCTCACTGGCCAATTGAAAATAATTAATAATAAATGCCAGTTAAATAATTACAATGTCCTTAAATATAGGCTCTCATTCAATTTCTATTATCATTCTTTGCATAAGCTCTATTATCTCAATTTGCTCAGGGGAAATTTAGATGAAGATATTACCTAACTTAGTCCAGGTTTCACAGGTGGTCAAATGGTGGAGCCAGTACTACTTCCCATTGTTTTCTGACTTCAAAAACTGTACTCTTAAATCAGAATGCTATCCGGCCTTTAATGATCAATCATTTTAAATTACAAAGTTTAAATTTTCCCCACTTATAACTATAAGAACTGCAGCAGCAAATAATAAAATCAGGGTTAATATTTTTTACATAAGGATAAATTCTATGGCATTTGATATTCTGAAACAGCAAAATTGGGGGCATTTTATTTGACAAAACTATACTATTTTTTAATGAGTCAAAATTTTATCATTTCCTTTCTTTTTATGATTATTCCAACCTGTTATAAAATTTATAAATATTTAGGGCACAGATTTTTTCCCTAACACTGATTAAGTGAATTAAATTATTTTTTCAAGGCTACAGTACAGTTTCTGGACTAGTAATACACTCAGTGATACACTCAGTATTGCTAGTGATAGCATTTCTTGAGCTAGACAGCATTTCTAAATTTACAGTGTATCTAATAGAACCAAGACTCTAGTGACTAAATTTCCATTCTTAATTTAAGTAATAGATTGTTCACACTTATTTTTTCTAGCAAAGATTTATTCTGCATTTATTCTAACTACTGTTAAACAAAATCTCCTATATAAATTTATTTTACAAACTAGCCACTAGGAAATAATTCAATAATTTAATTCAAACTCAATTTATAATTATTCTTTATTAAATTTGTGGTTATGCAAATGTAAAAAAAAATTGGCATGATTCATTCTACATATTGAACACTATAATTGCATTGTAAATTGATATCAGGGCTACAAGTATGTGACTACTGGGGGGTAGTATATATTTTATACTTCTACTATATATTTAGTATTTTCTAAGTTTGACTTTAGCTTTGAATTAAATAGAACCAAACAAGAATTACATGTGTGTAAATAATTCACCTGGGGTAAAGGGCAATGGTTTTGTTTTCTGTTTGATAATTTATAGCTCATAGATGATTGCTTTTAAGAGTACTTTACAATTTCTCTCCGAAGAGATTTCTCACCCTGTCTTAAATTTCTAAGATTTGCCTTTATGGAACTAGCATACTTCTCTGCTTTTTAGTAAAAGTTGTATAGATCATGACAGTTGAAGCACTGAAGTGAATTTTTAAAAATAAAATTCAAGATACCATTAAACATGGCGCTACAGTCAGAAGCACCACACCGTCCCTCCGCAACAAAGATCAGAAAAACTAAGTCAAACAGAGTCACACATCAATCCTGAAACCCTAAGCATCAAATGAAGAGATAAAGAACTCAGCCAAGCACTGAATGGAATAAGAAACTGACCAAGGACAGAGAGCAAGGAGGCATACATGCAGAGGTCCCCTATCAGCTACTGCAGAACAGATCTGCCATCTTGGACTGCTATCGGAGATCAGCGAACAGGGGGTACAAGAAAGCAGTTTCACGGAGCTTCCAGCAGGAGACAGAACAACCAGTAACCAGTGATACACGCTTTCCCACTGCCCACCCTTCTTCACCCCAACTCAGCCTCCTCTGCTTCCTGAAGCCACAGTCTCTTGGCCAGAAAGCACCAGCTTCACTCTGGTGTTGCTTGGATTCTACCCACCCGCACTGGCCAGCTCCCTGAGGGCCTTTTGTTGGCTGCTGAT